TTCCTTTATTTTTAAAAGAACATTTTTTTGCTGGATATAGAATTCTGAGTTTGCAGGTTATTTTCCTTTTAGTACCTTAGAGATATCGCATTAAGGAGTGGTGGCATACACCCAGATACTGGGAAGGCTGAGGCAGCAGAATCACTTGAGCCCAAGTGTTAGGGGCCAGCCTGATTAAAATGAAACCTCATCTCAAAAAAAAAAAAGAACAATTTTATTATTTTTCAGCTTTCATTAATACTGATGTGAATTATATAATATTATTAAAGATGATTTCTTTTTTCGTTAATTTAAATATTTTAATTGACTTAATTTTTGCTTCTAAAAATCAGGTAACACCAAAATACATGTATAAAGATGTGAAAAAAAATGGAGAATATGGTAAAAAAAAATAAAATGTTAAAAAAAATCAGGTAACACTCCATAATATTCAGTGAGTGTTCCACAGATGTTCTCTTGAATATAATGATTCCTTTTTCTTTCACAATTTTAAGATTTTATCTTAAAAAAAAGATTTATCTTTGGTTTTCAGTAGTTTGACTATGGTCTATCTAAATGTGATCATTTTGTATTTATCCTGCTTGGAATTCTGGTGAGTTTTTAGAATGTGTAAGTTGATATTTTTCATCAATTTTAGGAAAATTTTTGTCATTATTCAAATACTTTTTTCTACCCTTCCATCATATGATATGGACAACCAATTACACAAATATTAAACCTTGGGCTATCTTCTCCCCAGTCTTAAATTCTCTGTTCTTTTTTAATTATAATTTTTATTATTTTTTTATGGTGCTAGGTATCAAACACATGGTATTCAAGTGTTCTATCACTGAGTTAGATCATTAACTCTTAATTTTTATCCTTCCTATCCTTCAGTTTGAATAATTTTTACATCATTATAATTTGAGTTTGATGTAGTCTATTGATAAACCAACCCAATGACCTTTTTATTACAGATACTGGATTTTCTAGTTTCAGAATTTTCATTTGTGTCTATTTTTTAGTTTCAGCTATTTGCTGAGATTGTTACATTTATTCACACATTTTATTATCCTTCTTGTTTTTTGGTAAATCCTTCATTATATTTATATATCAGTTTTAAATTCTATGTCTGTTAATTTAACATTTGTGTTATGTGTGGATCAGCATTTAAAGACCATTTTTAAAAACCCTTGATGATAAGTCATATTCTCCTGCTTCTTCCTATGTTATTAAACTTTAATCCTATCCTGAACATTAAAGATGATACTTGATAGAGACTCTGAATTATATCTTACTCTAGCGTTCAGTTTTGTTCTAGTGAATCTTGTGAAGACTTAGTTTCCAGCTTTGTTTCGGTGGGCCTATTTTGCTTTTGCTTTCCACTTTGTTCTGTGATATAGTTTTGATCATGAGAGGTAGTCTTCCTTTCTCCTCCTTCCCTTCCTTCTTTCCCTTCTTCCTTCCTTTTTCTTTTTCCTCTTTCCCTTCCCCTTCCTTTTTTTTCTCTCTCTCTTTCTCTCTCTCTTTTTGTACCAGGGAACATCCCCAACCTTTTTTTGTATTTTATTAGAGATGAGATCTTGCTGAGTTGCTTAGGGCCTTGCTAAATTGCTAAGGCTGGCTTTGAACTTGTGATCCTCCTGTTTTAGCCTCCCAAACTGGGATTACAGCCTGCGCCACCGCACCTGGTGAGATACGGTCTTTATGACCTTTTTAGTGTTTCAAATGGAAAGTTTGAGACATTTATCACATCTAACTTGAACTCCAAACTTGGTCTCCCCAGCACTGGGCAACAGCTGAAATCTCTGCTCAGCTCTGTAGCCAACCAGTTGTTTCGTTTTTCCTGGATTCTTTGAATTCATACCTTGTATATGGGTAGATTAGGGGAGAGCCCAGGATCTGAGGGGAACTTGTATGCAGATTTCAGAGCTCCCCACTCTGTGGCCGCTCCTTTCTCCCTTAATTCCAGACATTCTGTCAGTCTCAAACTCTGACCCACAAAAACTTTCTGTTTTAATTCTAACCTGTCCTGAGCCTCATGAGCTGCAAAGTGCCTCTCTCTAGATGAAAAGCTAGATAGATGTGGAGTTCATCCAGTGTGTTTTCCTTCTTTGAAGGATTGTGTCCCCTTTAGTTTCTCCTGTTTTTTGTTGCTCTCCAGACCTTTGAGGAGGGGGTTTTCAATATTTTAGATTTAATAACTGTTATTGGCAAGAGAGTTGGTCTGATAAAAATTTTATTAGTGCAAGTCAAACAGGCTATACATCTGCCAGACCATCTGGCCTGGAATATGAAACCTTAACATTTTAGAGGTGATGGCAGGTAGTTAGACACTGCTGTTCTATGTATATGAATACTAGCTAGTAATTTAATAATGCTTATTTTATTTTAAAGAAAATTTATTGCCAGGTGCACACCGGTAGTTCTAGCTGCTCACCTGTAGTTCCAGCTGCTAAGGAGACTGAAGTGAGAGGATTTCTTGAGTCCAGGAGTTCAATGCCAGCCTGGACAACATCTCAGAACATAAGACAGCCCAGTACAGTGGCACAACCTGCAGTCCCTGCAATTTGGGAGGCTGAGGCAAGATGATCACAAGTCTGAGGCCAATCTCAACAACTTAGAGAGGCCCTAAGCAACTTAATGAGATCATGTCTCAAAATAAAAAATAAAAAGGGCTGAGGAGGTAGCTCAGTGGTTAAGTGCCCTTGGGTTTAATATCCAGTGCAAATGAAATATAAAATAAAGTAAAAGAAAAATAAAATGAATAAAATGAAATAAAACACCCCTCTTGCCCCAAGGCTAGTATTTGATCTTCAAACCACCTGCTGGTTTAGTAATGTCCAGAACCTCTTCATCCATCACCTTCATTATTCTAATAAGAAACAGATTCAGAGGTTGAACAACCAGATATGGCAGATGGCAGAGACTGGTTAGATCTTCTTTAAAGCTATTTTGCAGCTTGGTATGGTTGCACATGCCTGAAATCCCAGTGATTTGGGAGGCTGAGACAGGAGGACCACAAGTTTGAGGACAGACTGGCAATTCAGTGAGACCCTCTCTAAAAAAAAAAAAAAAAAAAAAAAAAACTTCTGGGGATTCCGTAGCTCAGTGGTAGAGCCCCAGTATTGGGGGGAAAAAAATAAAGCTTTTCACTGTACACAAAGAACTATTTCCCAGAAACTTTGTACATGGGTGGGGCTATATGAGTACATCTTGCCACATTTTCTCTCTCTTCGTCCTGTTGATTAGTGAATGATACCAGGGTAATCTTTTTTCTTTTTCCCTTTTACTAGGTTACTTTTGTTTTTTAAGCTGGGGGTATCTATAGCTAAGTGATAGAGCATGTGCCTAGCATGTAAAAGGCACTGAGTTCAATCCCTAGCACTCTCTATAAAAGGTAATATCTTATTTAAATTTTTATTCATTTATTCATTCAGTGCTAGGGATTGAACCCAAGGCCTTGAGCATGGTAAGCACACATTCGACCACTGAGCTATACTCCCAGCCCTACTAGCTTAAGTTTATTTTATTTTTTTGTTTTGGAAGATCACTTTATTCTAAGTAATTCACAAAGAATATCATCAAGATTGCTGATTTGAGGCGGCCACACAAACATTTGTCCAGAACCAAATTATGTACCAACTCAGTGAACTTCTTCTTTTTTTTTTTTTTTTGAGAATTTTAATATTTATTTTTTAGTTTTCGGCGGACACAACATCTTTGTTTGTATGTGGTGCTGAGGATCGAACCCGGGCCGCACACATGCCAGGAGAGTGCGCTACCGCTTGAGCCACATCCCTAGCCCCTCAGTGAACTTCTAAACAGTTAGAATACTATCTTCCAGGCTGTTGTTGTGTTCAGTGGTTGAGCCCTTGCATGTGTGAGGTACTGGATTCAATTCTCAGCACCACATATAAGTAAATAAATAAATAAATAAATGTCCTTTGACAACTGAAATAATAAAAAATAATAGTATCTTCCATTGCCATTCAGAAATAATGAAGCTATGTGTGGTTTTACATTTCATATTTTCACTATCAATTACATTTTTATGCTAAAGTAACTTGTTCATTAGAGCCAATTTTCTATTTATTCAATTTGAACTTCTTGATTAGACTAATCCATTTGCTATTCTACACTATTTCAGAACCAGTTTCATTACTCTGGTTGTGGGCACACTCCAAAAATTGTTTTATCTCATAAAAGCAAGGGCCACCAAGCTGCTGCTGCTATGCTGGCTGGGTTCCCTGAGGCGCCTGGTAAGTGATATCAGGCTTTGAGGGCTCAGAATTACTTCCTCCACTGAATCCCCCAGTGATGAGCGTGTGCCAGACTGCAGAGCCCAACCACACTAGCTGCGTGGTTGCCATCTGGGCCATAAGATCTGGCTACAAGGCTGTAGCAGCAAGTGAGCCATTTGCAGATGGTAGGACTATCGCTGGTGGCTGAGGGCATTGGGCACAGCTTTGATTTGAGGGTCCCTTCTGGGCACAGGGTGGAGAGCACATAGGAGATGTGCTTCCAGCTTTCATTAGGCATCCTAAGGACATTGCAATTCTTTATCTAGAAATGCAAAACCGTCAAGAGCCTGGTGATTTCTCACTAGCTTAATTTAAAGCCACATGCTGAATATGGAATACTTACAATAAAGAAGGTGCCAGGATCTCTAAATGACTATGTGGAGTGGAACTTCCTTCCCTGCTGACCAATATTTGTCTGAGGTTGGGCAAGAAAGTGATTTTGGATTGTGTTCAACTGAGATTTTAGGGTTATTTTTCCTCAGTAGTTAGTGCTACATATGCTAATAAATTGGCATAAGTTATTCCCTAATTAGAACTAAAGATATGACTAGAAGCCATCTTCTGTTTCCTTTGATGGCTGACAATTCATATATAACTTTCATAATTATTATATGAATGTACTAGTTTACAAAATAAGTTATTATAATTAGGAGCATTCTCTGAATGAATGGAAAAATGAATGAAAATGGTGACTTAATAAATTGAAAAACAACTTACCTAGAGACCGAATGCCTTTTTGCTCAAGAAAGTCATGTAAAACATTTGTATTAAGGTTTAATATAAGTCCTAGTTCTAATGTAAGTTTCCAGAATCCATCCTGTGAAATTTAAGAAAACAAATTTAAGTCATATTATTGGAATTTCATCACCTAAGAAGTTATTTGAGGGCTGGGGTTTCCATTTATTTTTATTCAGTCAATTAAGACATTTTTGAAATTTTTATTACTGTAAAATCAAAAGTTTACTGTAAAAGTTTACTATAAAAGTTTTTCATAGACTAGTGACAATATTGTCTAGAATCTTATAAGTACTATGGAGAATAAGTATCTGGTGACATTTATAAAAAGGCTAGAATGAGGCTCATGTATATAGACTTTTAAAAATGGTGTTATAGAGAGCTGGGGATGTGGCTCAAGCGGTAGCGCCCTCGCCTGGCGAGCGTGCGGCCCAGGTTCGATCCTCAGCACCACATACGAAGATGTGTCTGCGGAGAACTGAAAAATAAATATTAAAAAAAAAAATTTCTCTCTCCCTCTCCTCTTTCTTTAAAAAAAATGTTGTTATACATTTTTTTCTTCTAGAAACACTTTTTTTTTTGGTGATACTGGGAATGGAACTCAGGATACTTTACCATGGAGCTATGGCTCTTTTTATTTTTTTATGTTGATACAGGGTCTGATAAAGTTGCCCAGGCTGGCCTTGAACTTGTGATCCTCCTGTCTTGGCTTCCCAAATAGCTGGGATTACAGGGGTGCTCCACTATGCCAGGCTCTAGTAATGCTTTGAATCAATGTTTTTCAACTTTTAAACAGCATGATTCCTAGCTGGGCACAGTGATGCATGCCTGTAATCCCAGGGGTTCAGGAGGCTAAGGCAAGAGGAACAAGAGTTCAAACTCAGCCTCAGGAATTTAGCCAAGCCCTAAGCAACTCAGTGAGACCTTGTCTCTAACAAAATATTAAAAAGGGCTGGGGATGTGGCTCGGTGCTGGGCTCAATTCCTGGTACAAATAAAGTAAAATAAAATAAAAACCACCACCACAACAAAAAACCCCACTTCGCTGGGCATGGTGATGCATACTTATAATCCTAGAGACTTGGGAGGCTGAGTCAAGAGGATTGCTAAATTTGAGGCCAGCCTCAGCAACTTAGTGATACCCTAAGCAACTTAGCAAGACCCTGTCTCAAAAAACAAAAACAAAACAAACTGGGGCTTGGGTTGAGGTTCAGTGGTAGAGTATACTGGTACATGTGAGGCACTGAGTTTGAGCCTCAGTGCCACATGAAAATATAAAATAAAAAATAAAAAGGGCTGGGAATGTAGCTCACTGATAAAACATCTTTGGGTTTACTTCTCAATAACCCAAACAAAACAAACAACATCAACAAACACTTTGTTGAGGTGTGATCAAAATACAGAAAAACTACAAATATTCATGTATACAATTTGATGTGTTTGGAGATAAGCATATACCAGTGAAACCATCAAATCATAATGACTATCAATGCTATATACTTATTTATCAACTTTCAAAAGTTTCCTTCCATACACTTTTCTTTTGTTCTATCTCTATTTGTGGAAAGAACACTTAATATAAAAATGTACCTAGCAATTTTTTTTTCAATGCTTAAGGATGGGACTCGGGGCCTCATAAGCCTAGGCTCTTCACTGAGCTCCACTCCCAGTCCTTTCTTAGCAAATTTTTAAATATAAAAATATAGACCTGGAGTTTTCTTGTATTTTCTTTTCTTTTTTTAAAAAATATATTTTTAGTTGTAGTTGGACACAATGCCTTTTTTTTTACTTTTATTTTAAATTTTATTTATTTTTATGTGGTGCTGAGGATTAAACCCAGGGCCTCACATGTCCTAGGCAAGTGCTCTACCACTGAGCCACAACCCCAACCCCTCTTTTTCTTTTTTAATGGTACTAGGGATTTAATTGAGGGGTGTTCTATCATTGAGCAATATCTTAAATCCCCCGCTCCTTTTTTTAAAAGATAGGGTCTCCCTAAATTGCCAAGGCTGGCCTTGAACTTGTGATCCTTCTGCCTCAGTGTCCTGTGTTTCTAGATTTTACAAACATGTGCCACCACATCCAACAAGTATAGAAATAACAGTATCAGGTAGGGATGTGGCAAAGTGTCTACCTCACATTCACTAAGACCTGAGCTTGATCCCCAGTTCCAAAAAAAGATTAAAAAAAAAAAAAAAGAACCCCATGCTCTGGACAATTATTTGCTATACTGCTCCCCACAGGCCTCTGTGTGTTTTATCTCAACAAGGGAAGTTGGGAGGCTATTATTGTCCTGTTTAAACTTCAAAAGCACACTATGAGGTAGACGCCATTATTATCCCCATAATGTGAATGAGGAAAGCAAGACTCAGGTTATCTGCCTTGCCCCAAATCACAAAGTGGTAGGGCTGGGACTAGTACTATAGTTGTATACTAAACTGAGTCGTTTCCACTTTACTAAATTAATTTACACTGAAACAAATAAATGTGAATGTAAGACTGGGTCTTAGAGTAGTAGCTAAAACAGCATGTTCCTTAGGTTAGCAAATATAATGATGAGCTTTACTACAATATTACATTTTGAATAATATCTATATTCCCAATACCTTATGTGAAAATGTTTAGTCTATTCATGGCACCTTTGCTTTACTTCATGACAAGAAATTTCTATGAATTGCAACTCATCAATGCTAGAATCAAGGAAATTAAGGTCTTACCCCATGATCTTTTCAGGGATGCTAATTTTTAGTTGAGAAATATTAACATTGACTAGCATGATATATGGTCTAATAGTTAATAATAAATACTGTTCATCACCAAGGACACTTTCATTAAGCTGACTGGGTTTTTTAAGCAAGATTTTCTTTCAAGCTGGCACAAGCCCTTCACTTCACAATAGACTGGTAATAAATAGTTCTAACACCAACAGACTTGAGTAGCATTGTGCTAAACTACGGAGCTAGCCAGATGTCGTAGGACATGTCCGTAACCCAGTGACTCTGGAGGCTGAAGCAGAAGGATCTCAAGTTCATGGCCAACCTCAGCAATTTGGCAAGGCCCTAAGCAACTTAGTGAGACCCTATCTCAAAAAATGGCTGGGGATGTAGCTCAATGGTAAAGTGCCCTTGGGTTCTATCCCTAGTACTAGTATACACAAACGAACAAATAAGACAATACCTCAGTCTGTAGACTGAATAGTTCAGCCCACGGCACAAAATTCTGCCAGCTTTGTTTGCCATCTACATCATCCTCATCTTCCTGTGAATGAAAGCTTAAGCAAAAATCACTTGTTACATCAGATTTCTCCTCCTTTTTCAAAAATCTACACTGTAGAGGTACTGGTATTTCATCATCTAATGTTTCAAAAAATTTTTCACAACTCGAGGGAGTCAAAAAATGTGCTTCCAAATAATCTGATGATGCAAGACCCACAGACTGTGCTTCTTCTTGCAAAATTGAACTTGCCAAAATTTGAAAATCTTCAGAAAATTCAAATTCAGATGCATCTGATGGTAAAGAAGCCAGCACAGGTGTTTCCAGTGTCAGCCTGTAATTGATGCTTTGAGGTACTAGGGAATTTTGAAACTGATGAAAAGAGGGAGGACAGGGAGGATGAATACCAAAACCTTCAGTGGGATGAAAAGAAGAAAGAAGTGTAGGAGGAGAGGAAATCTGCTGCAGAGAAGAATCCAGTCTAGGGGAGATGTCAGATAAAAAGCTCATATTATCTTCATGAGGTTTATCTAGACAAACCTTCTGTGAGCTAAGGAATCTCCTAGATGCACTCAAAGGTGGGTCCTGAAGAGGAAATCTGGGAAGAGACCCCGGCTCAAAGGAAATTTTGGTTTCTTGGCCAAGCTGTAGGCCAAACTGTTTGGCAGATGCAAGAGAACCAAAAAGACAACTGCTTTGAGGAGGTATGGTGGGAGTAGAGAGGGAAGCAGCCTGGAAAGGGAGTGAACCAGAAGCAAACGTGGAAACAGACAGGCTTTGTGGTATAGCTTTCATGGATGATATTTCAAATCCTGCTTGTAAAAGTGAATTCATCAATGGCTTTCCCAGACTTTCCACTTCAAAATCTTCAGAAACTTCCAATTTAGGCATCTTAATTTTTTTTTTTTTAGCCAAACGTTTATGTGATGTTTCTTCATTCCATTCAGAGGATGCTGAAAAAGGCTGAACAGATGGGAGAATTATTCATGTAAAAGAAAAACAGAATAAAATGAACAAAGAAGAAAACATTCTTTCCAGTAGTCAATCAATTGTTGTCTCAAAGCATGATTCCAGAATCAGGATCACCAACATATTCAATATATTCAAAATCATTTATGCAAAACACTGTAATTTTTTGCGGGGGGCGGGGGTACCAGGGATTGAGCTCGTGGGCACTCAACCACTGAGCCACACCCTGGCCCTATTTTGTGTTTTATTTAGAGATAGGGTCTCACTGAGTTGCTTAGCATCTCACTGTTGCTGAGGCTAGCTTTGAACTCACAATCTTCCTGCCTCATCCTTTAGAGCCACTGGGATTACAGGCATGTACCACGACACCCGGCTTTAAACACTGCAATTTATAAATTTGGAATCTGAGACCTGGAGAGAATATCAGCAGTCAATACACAGAAAGATGTTTCTCTTTCTGTTCTTAGAATCACAAAATTTAAATACTCCTCATTTTACAGATGAGAAACTAAGAACCACAGAAGTGACTTGCCCAAGATTTTACAATAAGTAGTAATTGTGGTCTGTAAATTAGCTTTAAAATAAGCTAAAATTTGAAATAAGTTACTCTAGTTTTCTTTTTTGGTGCTAGGAATTGGACTTGGGTGTTTTACCTCAAAAGCTACATCACAAGTCCTTTTTATTTATTTTTTATTTTTATTTTTTCTGGTTTAACCAGTTCTAGTTTGTTGTGTCCTTTTTATTTTTTAATTTTTTTTAAGAGAGAGAGAGAGAATTTTTTAATATTTATTTTCTAGTTCTCAGAACTACACAACATCTTTGTTTGTATGTGGTGCTGAGGATCGAACCCGGGCTGCACGCATGCCAGTCCAGTGCGCTACCGCTTGAGCCACATCCCCAGCCCTTTATTTTTTAATTTTGAGGGAGGGTTTCATTAAGTTCTTGAGGATCTCTCCACATTGCTCAGGCTGGTCTCAAACTCGAGACCTTCCTGCCTCAGCCTCCCAAGTATCTGGGATTACAGACATGTGCTACCATGCCTGGCTTCTCAAAGACCCCTTTTAATAATTATAGCTAACATGTACTAAATACCTGTTATGGGCCAGAAATGTTATGGAGCTGCCTATAATCCCACTAACTCAGGAAGCTGAGACATGAGGATCACAAATGCAAGACTAGCCTCAGCAATTTAGTGATGTCCTAAGCAAAAAAAGGGGTGGGGGGTGGGGGAGCTGGGGAATGTAGCTCAGTGGTAAAGTGTTCCTGGGTTTTCAATTGCCATGACTTAAAAAAAAAAAAAAAGAAGAAGAAGAAAAAAAGAAAGAAAAAGAAAATGCATTATGGTGTCATTTTTCTGCATTCCACAACAGTCCTGAGATAAGTTTTATTAGTTTGAAAAGCTCTTATGTGAAATGTGTCATATTTATATATTTTTCTCTCATTTTAGAATATTTGCATATATATATTTGCATTATATATATATATATGTATATATATATATATTTGGGAACCAAATCTGAACACAAAATTCATTTATGTTTATGTTCACCTTATACATGGCCTGAAGGTAATTTTATATAATATTTTTAGTGCACCTGTGTTTTTACTGTGACTTGGCACATGAGGTTAGGTGTGACATTATCAACTTGTGGAGCCATGTTGGGACTAAAATTTTTTTGGATTTTTGAAGCATTTCATTTTTCCAGATTGGGAATGTTTAACCTGTATAATGCCCATTTCCTAAAATTAGGGCATTTAAGAGAAGTTTAGGTCACACAGGTGCTGGGATTCGAGCATTCTGGCCAATACTATCTATGGTATTAACCGCTAGATTTTACTTCAATTACCTAGGGTTTTTGTGGGAGAGGAGGGGTGGTACTGGGGATTGGACCCAATGTCACTCTTCCACTTGAGCTACATTCCTAAACCTTTTTATTTTTTAATTTTGACACAGGGTGTCACCAAATTGCCATGACTGGCCTGGAACTTTTGACTCTCCTGCCTCAGCATCCCCAGTTATTTAGATATATTACAGCTCCCCAGTTATTTATATATATTAAAGGTATATACCACTATGCCCTGCTTTAATTATCTACCTTTTTGATCTTTTCCAAATTGAAATGAAATATCATGGTAGTTTTAATTTACATTTCTCTTTGCAACAAATGAAGTTAAGTACCTTTTCATGTTTAAGAATCCTATTATAACATGTTTGATGATGATAATAATAATAAATGACTATGTTATTGATTATGTTTGTACTTCATAATTACTTTAGACTGTACTGCTACTTATTTAAAACAAACAAACAAACTGCTGAGTTGGGCATGGTGGCTCATGCCTGTAATTCCAGGAGGCTGAAGCAGGAGGATTGCAAGTTTGAGGCAAGCCTGTGTAATTTAGCAAGGCCCTAAGCAACTTAGTGGGACCCTGTCCCAAAAAAGGGCTGGGGACTTAGCTCAGTGGTAAAGCTCCCTGATTCAATCCCTAGTATACATACAAAAAAAAAAAAAGAATTAATTAAAACAATTTTTTTAAAAAGACTACCACAGGCCATGGGGGCATATGTCTATAATCTCCATGACTGGGCAGTCAGGCAAGAGGATCACAAATTCTAGGCCAGGCTAGCAATTTAGTGAGACCCTGACTCAAAATAAAAAATTAAAACTGGGGATGCAGTTCAGTGGTAAAGCACCTCTGGATTCAATATCTAATACCCAAAATTAAAAATAATACAAAAGTAAAGAACAGACTACTATAGCTGTGTGCACTGGTGCACACCTATAATCCCAGCAACTCTGGAGGCTGAGGCAAGAGGATCACAAGTTTGAGGTCAGCCTGGAAACTTAGCAAGGCCCTGTCTCAAAGTAAAAAATAAACAAAAAGCACTAGGGACAAAGCTCAGTGGTAGATCATCCTTGGGTTCAATCCCCAGGACCAAAAAGTAAAAAAAAAAAAAAAGACTGTTGTGAAATAGTATTCTGTGTTTGACCAGCAGCAGCCTTATACATCTGTTTACATCTCTGGGCTGCATCTAAAGGCTGCATTCAGTGACTGGGACCTAGACTTAAAGAGTTCATACAACCATGAAATCACCTAATAACACGCTGCCTTAGATATCTCTGTTCTTATGCAATAAATGATTGTATTTGGTAATTATCATTTACCTGTGGCATGTTAGCCTCTGGTTGTTCCTCCTGCCAACTCACATACGGCAAAAAGTCTACATCTTCTTTGGCAATAAGTTCAGGAATATTTGGAATATTAGGAAAAGGTGAATCGTTACCATCCTATATTGAATCACAATTGGGTTAAATTTAAAAGGATATTATCAAATTAAATGATTATCACACATTGTAAATACCTGCAGACATTGGGTTTGGAACATATGGGGGTACGAAGCAAGAAAAAGAGACAGCTGACAGGCTCATGCAAGAAGGTTTCCTCTTTATAGAGCATTCACTGAGTGCTGTGCTTTACATATTTTCCTCTTATGAAAGAGAAAGGGCCTCCCAAGGGTAAGGGAAACCTAGGTTTTTTCTATTTTTTTAGAGTCTTACTTTAGATTAATAAAAGATGACAAATGCCAAAACGTAATAAAACTGTAGTATATTTTTAAAGTTTACAAGTAGCTAATTAATAACTATAACATTAAAAATGCTGAGATATTCTGTTTATTTAGAGATATGCTGTTTATGAGAGATCACCATAAGTCCTAGACTGCAGCATCTCCTACTGGAGGCATTGGCTCTGAGGCCCACTGGCATCGTCACCAAGAATAAGAACAAGAAAGTCTTTATTAATGTGTGCAAATAAAACAGTTTAGCCTTCAATTAACAATAGTACATACCCTTTTCTCAACTGCCACAAAGCTTGTATATTGTGTTATAAGAGAGTTTTCTTTACTGAGTTTAATAATCAGAGATTTCAAAATTTGTTTCTTCATCTAGAATAGAATAAAACAAATAAAACCACACCCTGTTTTATTTCTTTTAGCTATATACAATTAAAAGAGTATTAAATAATCTGAAAAAGGTGTTTTTCTATGACAAGTAAATCATTTTATAATTAGTATTCAAAGTAAATATCAAGTCAGGATCCTGTCTAAATATGTTAGGTAGGTAACTCAACATTTCCTGTGAAATGGGATCAAGTGACTTAGCAAAGTTACAGTAAAACCAATTCACATTTATATAGCTCTCCATAATTTACAAAAAGCTCTCATATAGAGAGCTTCCTCATTCTCTCACAAGCAGTCTGTAGCTCCTATTGTAAAGCTGAGGAATTGCAGAGGCAGAGTGACTTGTTCAGAATTGTTCAAGGCAGGGCTGGTTGGTTGCCCTCGGAGATCAAAGTCAAGTAGGATGCAAAGCAGTCAAAAACAATGGCAACAGAAGACAATTTGCCACCTTCTGTGACTGTCAGCAAGACTATCCAGGTCCTGAATGATACACTGGCATCTTCTTTTGGGATGTGTTCAATATTAATGCCCATATAAGATCATGGTCTCTGAGGGACCAGCAGTCTGTCATGGTGGCTCCCTGGGAGGAACCTTCAGCCAGGGACCTCATCTGTACAGCAAGGAGAGGGCCAGGTGGGCTTTTGCTCTGCCTTGCATCTTTAGGTGGCTTACCCACCATCCTGCCCCTGGGCTTCTTCATTAAAATGGAAATAGTAACGCAACAAATGAGATCCAAAATGACATCTATTAAGGGCACTTAGTGTTCTCTAAGCCCTTCTCCAAATTCTTTCTCACAGGCAGAAGATCACAGAATTCTCAGGAAATGACTTACATTAGTTCTTTCATTAATTCACTCAACAAACATTCATGGAGCAACCTACATCCGTTCTAGGCATAGATGTTACAAGTACTGTGATGAATGTCCCTGACACCACATTCTTCTCTATCCAGCTATCCTCACTTTACATTTCCATGGATAAATCAATTTAAGAATGATCTAAAACAATGCATAAAGATTTTTACTAGGAAAAGAACAAACCTCATGGCTGGTTTCATTCTCGTGGAGAATGCCATCTTCATAATCTCTGATCACAGCTCTTGCTGCCAGCTTGTGAATCATCTGTGTTTACACAGCCATGGGGGGAAAAAAAAGATACAAATGATTTGTAATTGAATACTTACATAGACTACCATATAAAAAACTTCAGAATAATAATTTACATTCAGCAAATTCACTCCTTTTAACTATACAATCTTACGAGTTTTATCAAATGAATACAGCTAGGTGACCAGCACCAAAATGAAGATACAGAATATTCCCTTCCCTCTAGGAAGTTTCCTTGGGCCCCTTTGCAGTCACCCCCAGCTCTGCCAACCACCCATCTGATTTCTGTCCCTAGTGTTTGCTTTTCCTGTACAAGGTCATTTTGCTAATGTAACTTATTTCAAAATTTTATTTGTTTGTTTGTTTATTTATTTATTGTATTGGGGATGGAATGCAGGGAACCTTACCATTGAGCTAGATCCCAATCTGTTTTTATTGTGAGACACAGTCTTTTTAAATTGCCCAGGCTGGCCTTGAATTTACAATCCCTCCTGCTTCAGAATCCCAAATTGCCAGGATTATAGGTATGACCATCATGCCAATCTATTTCAAAACTTTAAAACTACTCTTCTTCTACAGGAAGAGCCAGCCAGGTGCCGGAATGTCTACCTGCAAACAGTCTCCACCAGACTGGAGGCCCTGGGATATTCACAGTGAAGTGGAACTGATCTTAAACGGCAATGTCTGCTCTCCATAATTCCAACTCTTATGACTTTGTTATTGATAAGGTCACCATTCACAGAGGAAGAACAACTTTAAATACTGTGATTTTAGGGAAGAAGACTTCTTCCCAAGTAAGATTCTTTTACCTAATTTCACTCTTAGATCCAATTTTTAAAGCAATATAGAGATTTCCCCAAGTTCTATCAAATAAAGTTTATGAGTCTATTATTTTGGGCTAAGCCCTTATGTTAGGCCCCAAAAGACCAGATAAAAAATCAAAACACAATCATTCATGCTAAAGGTCTATGTCAGCAAACTGAAATTAAGTCATCATCTGACCTTTCAAGATATGACACCATGAAAAATCAAAGATGGCCAGTTCTACAAATAGGACAGTTTCAATTGGCATGATAACGAAGTTCCCTGTTTTAATCCTTCCAAACATTGTGACTTGAAGTAATCTGATGTTAACCAATCAGTTATTTTTCTATTGTCATGGAATAAAATAAAAATGAAGTAGCATTGGTTCAGGGCACTTAAAAGATAATTGAAAGCCACTGTTAAATCAGGTCTCAGATCCATCCACAGCTGAATCTGGACTACAGTTTTCTGAAACATTGTTGCTCCCCAACAATGTATTGAGGATTGGACTCAGAGGTCCCCACCACTGAGCCACATCCCTGGCTCTTTTTATTGTTTTGAAATGGGGTCTCACTAAATTGCTGAGGCTGGCTTCTAATTTATGATCCTCTTACTTTAGCCTCCCGAGTAGCTGGAATTACAAGTGTGTATCACCATTGCTCATTGACTTTGCTAACATGTGCAATGGACCTCTTATTCCTATCAATCTAAAATAAAGTCAGTCTAGTCTAGAACAAAGACTAAACACAGATTCAAAGAGATTTTACAAAATGATGGCTGTCTTATTGGCTTAAACTGCAAGAAGGTTGGTAATCACTTGTTAGTTAGGAATTATAATGGTGACTGGCAAAAATTAAGCTGTTTTGTAATAAAGGGACAAAGTGTGGTCTTAATCTCTGGGTAGTTTGGGGGAAGTGGTCCATTGTACAGAAGGTCTACAGAAGTTAGCAATTTTTCAAAGGTCAACTTGTACCCAGGGTGGGAACATATACAGCCCAGTTCAAACATTTATTTGTAGACATTGATGCTCCCAACATTTGTATAATGTATCTCATTATACAAATTCTCCCATGAATAACAAACAACATAAATAGCATATATAGTTTAAAATTTTCAAGGTGGAACTATAGTGGACTCAGTACTAATACACATAATGCAAAATTTTCAGTGATAATTTATAATATTGTAGCATAATAAGAAATACATATCTTGGTCATGTCCCTGGTTCTGGGTGAGGTAGGACAGAAGAAATAAGGATAGGCAGAAAGAAGACAAACATGAAAGAAGGTTCATAGCTTTAAATCTAAAAACTCCATGGATATCCTCACCTTCTACCCCTAGGCCTCAATTCTTTTTTTCTTTTTTTTTTTTTTTTTTGGTACTGGGGATTGAACCCAAGGGCTCTTAAAGACTGAGCCACATCCTCAGCCCCAGGCCTCAATTCTTAAAAGGTCCAATAAATGGAGGCTTGCTTGTACCTCAATGGCAGAGCATTTGCCTAACACCTGTGAGGCACTGGGTTCAATCCTCAGCACCACATAAAAATAAATAAATAAATAAAGGTATTATGTCCATCTACAACTAAAAATATACTTAAAAGGTCTAATAAATCTTTGAGTATTTTAAGTCAGTTAGTTAGTGCCTATATACCTTGTGCTTATAAAATACATTTTTTAGACTAATTCAGAGAAGCATTTTAATTCTTTTTTGGTTTATTCTCTTTTGAAACCTTTTAATTCTTGACATTGTTAGAAACTTGTGATAGTTATACAGTCCAAGGGCTATTAAGTAGATAAATTAACCTAAAGATTTTGAGAAGAACCCAGATCACTGTGATCTGCTCTGTGTTCCACCCTTGTATGCATCTCATGTCCAGCATTTATTAAAGTGTCCTTTTAAAAAAAAGAAAGCTGAGACCTCAAAATCGTGTTTCACTCTGAGGCACCCAAACTCTGTCCTCCTTTGAATGCAAATCCTACTCTATTGCTTCCTTGCTTGAATAAATCTCTTAATTTTCCTAAATAAATATCTGCTTGTTCCTCCTGAGGTGTCCTGAAATTCCCTTCTGAAGTGTAAGTCAAGAAATTGCCAAGGCCACATTATGGTTCCCCTCTTCTGAGGATCTCCTTGACCCCATGGATGCAATATATTTTTTCAAACCCTTGTAATAAAATCCTTATAAGAGCATAGGAGCATTCATTGTTACATTTGGGTTTCTTGTTGGCTCCTTACATAGCTCCAGAGCGATAAAGGTAAAAGGAGCTTCATTTGTTGATGTTGTTGCTCATTTGTTTTTAGTACTGGGGATTGAACACAGGAGCTGTCTACCTCTGAACTACCTCCCCAGTCCTTTTCTAATTTTATTTTTTAAAATATTTTCTTTTAGTTTTTGACAGACTTTATTTTACTTATTTATCTTTTTAGAGAGAGAGGTGAGAGAGAGAGAGA